ACATCTAGGGCTGCCTGTGTATCAGATTCATCAACACCCAGATCTTGGTCCTCCATGACCAGATCCCTTTTTCCTTTGCACCGGTGGCGAAGAGTGATCCACCACATCCACAGTTACTCCATGAGCAATACCCCGATTTTAGTAATCTCCACACTATCAGGCAGGTCCAACAGCTTTGATCGCCTTTCTCCTTCAACCCTATCGGACCAGTTAGTGGACACCGGGGTTAACAACACTGGCATCGTAGATCCAACAGTAGGACGGTCTTCGTCCATCGCCAATCTGCCTTGATAGCCGAAAGACGGTCAGAAAGGGTCTTGGATGGATGACGCCGTAGCCCCACTCCATTGCTTCTCACTATTTTGTGCAACCACAACTAGGTTATCCAACTCACATCCAGAGAGATCTAATCATTTAGGGCTAAATTCTCCAAACGAACCCACTGAATCTCTCATTCCCTCTCTCTTCATTAATAATCGCATTAAAGTTTCCTGCAGTAACCAAAGCATCAGATACAGTTTCCATTTCAAGAATGATCTCACAAAGAAAACGAAACCCTTCAGAGAGAAGGAGGAGCTTCTCACTCTAACCCATTCTCTAACATTGACTGACTTTCTCTTTTGAGGTTTCCTAAATCATCTAAGTGTTCGATTCTCAAGTCCAAAAGGTTGAATCTTAATTCTCTTTGATTTTTTTTCATCCATTCTCTTTTTTTTCTCTAACTTTCTCTGTCCTTCTCTATTTTGTTCTACGAATAATTAGGTTAGGAGACCAATTGTTTCATTAGCTTAACTGGCCAAGTTTAACTCACGCTAACCTTGCTTAGCCTCCAAGAAAGAGAATTTTCTAAGTAAGTGGAGTTTAACGATATTAGTTTAACTTAAGCACCTTATTTAAGGTTTTTTAAATTACCACTAAGTGTTCAATTCTAAAGTCCAAAAAGATGAATTTGAATTCCCTTTGATTTTCTTCCTGTTACTCTTTCTCTTTCTCAAACTTCTCTGCTCTTTGCTCTCAGAAGAATGTTTCTCTCTAACTTGCTACGTCATTCTCCATCCTCCTCTTATTTTGTTCTACAAACCAAATAAGCTCCGGCCACCAATTGATTCATCAACTTAAGTGGGGAAGTTTAACCCAAACTAACCTTGCCTAGCCGCTAGAAAGAGACCTTTCTGAGTAATTTTACGCTTAACGATATGAGTTAACGTAAGCACCTTCATTTATGGCCTCTAAATCACATAAGTGTTCAATTCTCAAGTCCGAAAGGATGAATTTGTATTTCCTTTGATTTCATCCTATTTCTCTTTCTTTTCTCTAACTTTCTCTTCTAGCACTCAAGAAGAACATTTCTCTCTAACTTTCCTTCGTCGTTCTCCATCCTTCTTGCCACCAATTGTTTCGTTAGGCATAATTGGCCAAGTATAACTCAAACTAACCTTGCTTAACCCCTAAGAAAGGAATTTTCTCAGTAACTTTAGCTTAACGATATGAGTTTAACCTAAGCACCCCATTTAAGATTTTCTAATTCACCTAAGTGTTCAATTCACAAGTCCAAAAGGGTGAATTTGAATTTCCTTTGATTTTCTTCTATTTCTCTTTCTTTTCTGCAACTTTCTCTTCTGGCTCTGGAGCAAAATCTTTCTCCTAACTTTCTCTGCCGTTCTCCATCCTCTCTATTTTGTTCTACGAACTAATTAGCTTAGGCCAGCAATTGTTTCATTAGTTTAAGTGGCCAAAGTTTAACTCAAACAAACCTTGCTTGGTCCTCTAAGAAAGATAATTTTCTGAGTAATTTTTAGCTTAACCATAATAAGAGTTTAACTTATGCACCTCATTTAAGGTTTTCAAAATCGCCTAAGTGTACAATTCTCAACTCCAAAAGGATGAATTTAAATTCCCTTGTTTTTCTTCATCTTTCCCTTTTCATTTCTCTAACTTTCTCTTCCACCTCTCAAGAAGAACCTTTCTCTCTAACTTAACCATACTGTTCTTTAGGTGGCCAAGTTAATTCAACGCCTTATTTAAGGTGTTCTAAATCACCTTAATCGTTCAATTCACAAGTCCAAAAGGATGAATTTGAAATCCTTAAGATTTTATTCCTATTTCTGTTTCTTTTCTACAACTTTCTCCTCTAGCTCTCAAGCAAAATGTTTCTCTCTCCATCCTTCTCTGTTTTGTTCTACGAACTGGTTAGCTTAACTCAAACTATATCCATGCTTAGCCGCTAAGAAAGGGAATTGTCAGAACAACTGTAGCTTAACGATATTAATTTGACTTAAGCATCTCATTTAAGGTTTTCTAAATACACCTAAGTGTTCAATTCTGGAAGTCCAAAAGGATGAATTTGAATTTCCTTACGATTTCTTCCTAGTTCTTCTTTTCTTTCTTTTTGGGGGGGGTGGGTAGTCATAAATTAAAAACAAAAAACACATTATACAATCTCAATACCCTAGGTAAGACACCACAAATCTTGTGCCCCAAAGAAGGGACTACTAAACAGAATAAAACTCAAAATTGCCATTATCAATTTTGTCCCCAAAAACAACCCCTATCATCAAAGATAATAGAAGGAAACTTGGGGACGGTATATGGGCAAAATAGCAACAAACAAAAAACAACTATTAAAACACTGTCTTGCGAATGAACAAAACTACCACTAAAAAACTTAGGCCCAAAAAACAAATGGGCCCCTCAATAACAACCCACTATTTAACCAGAAATAAACCCAAAACATTGTGGCCCATTAAAACCGTGGGCCCAACACCAAAGTAGACATACAGCCACAATGCTAGAGATAGCAGACGCGGAGCCCACCTGACGAGCATCACCCAATCCCTAAGTCATACAGCAAATAGACATACTTCACTTTCTTCTCTAACTTTCTCTTCTGGCTCTCAAGAAAGAATGTTTCTCTCGAACTTTCTCTGTCTGTTCTCCATCATTTTCTATTTTGTTTCTACTAACTAAGTAGCATAGGCAACCAATTGCTTCATTAGCTTAAGTGGCCAAGTTTGTCTCAAAACCAACCTTGCTTAGCCTCTAAGAAAGAGAATTTCATCGGAGCAATGGTACCTTAACGATATTAATATAACTTAAGCATCTCATTTAAGGTTTTCAAATCACGCTAAGTGTCAAACTCGCAAGTCCAAAAGGGTGAAGTTGCATTCCCTTTGATTTTCTTCCTAATTCTCTTCTTTTCTCTAACTTAGTCTTCTAGCTCTTCCAAAAGAATGTTTCTCTCTAACTTTCTCCGTCGTTCTCCATCATTTTCTATTTTGTTCTACTACTAATTAGCATAGCCCCCCAATGTTTCATTAGCTTAATTTGCCAAGTTTAACTCAAAACTAACCTTGCTTCGCCTCTAACAAAGAGAATTTTCTGAGAATTTGCAGAACGATTTCAGTTTAACTTAAGCACCACATTTAAGGCCTTCTAAATTCACAAAAGTACTCAATTCCAAGCCCGAATAGATGAATTTGTATTTCCTTCGATTTTCTTTCTCTTTCCTCTTCTTTGCTCTAACTTTCTCTTCTAGCTCTTAAGAAAACACTTCCTCTTAATTTTGTCCGTCCTCCCTATTTTGTTCTAGGAACTAAGGTAAGCTTAATTCAACACCTTATTAAGGGTTTTTGAATTCTAGAGACCTCCTAAGTGTTTCAATTCTCAATGTCGTGAAAAGGAAATGTCAAAGTGTTGTAATTGCCTTTTGTAACCATTTCCCTTGCCCCAGTTGCTCTTTCCTCTCAAACTTGACCAGTACGGTAGCTCCGCATTTTCCAGGATCTCCAGCAGCAATAACTAACAAATCACCTTCTCTCCCATCATCTGATCGCTACATCTAAGTGAACGAATGCGATCCCTCTACTCAAAAGCGACACTCAACTTTTACCTCTTTATCTCACATATCCCGGTATCTCTCTTCTCTCGA